GCGAACCGTGCTTCCCCACGATGTGAATGCCGGCTGTGCCGATTGATCCCGCCGGAATCGAGAGACGACTCAGCTCGAGGCATGTCCTCTCGCGGATTGGAACTCGAAAGAGCTTCTGGAACTCTCCGAAAAAAATGAATCGCACAGAAAAACACTGGAATACCTCGAGCGAGCGATCGACCGACCGACAATCAGCGTCAGGGTATTTCGAAGAGTTGGCATGACAGTCTGGCATGATCTGCTGCTGTCCGTTTCCGCTGACGTTCGATAATCTCCTCAGAGAAGCATGCAATAAGCCCGCCGCCGACTTTCTGGGGCTGACCCGCCGATTCTGTGCGCGGTGTGCACAGAATTCGTTTTCTTCAATTTACGCTGACAGCGAATTGACTCGTCGTCTCGTTCTTCTTCTTCTCTGAGTCCGACGCGACTGACGGTTTGATTGTCGATCCTGAACACGCAAGTCCCGCTGACTGAGTTTTCGTGAGCGCGCGGATCGCCGCCGACATTACAACTCGACGTATATTCGTACTTCTATACGTTCCTCCACGCTCGGGAACTGAGCGCTTCCTGTGCGCCCACGACACTTATGCAGATTCAGATGAAGGATATTCGTTCTATGATGAGTTATTTATGTGGATGTCGTAGAGCGGGAAGACTGTGTACGCATGCATGATCATTAGGTTTCCTCGTTCGTCCTCGATTACAAACGAGTGTCACAAATCTCATTCAAGGATTATGATGGCCCGGATGCGGGATCCGAAGAAAAAAGACTCAGTACGAGAGCCAAACGTCGTTCCATACCACTAGGGCGGAATCTCGTTCGATTCCGACCAGCGTGAGTCGGCGAGTCGATTGCTTCGATGGAGCGGGCTGACTTTGCTGAATTCCCTGTAAGACGCTTAACGACGATGTCACAGAAAATTAAATTTCTCTTAATTTTATTCTCCGAGGGCTCTCAAGCAAGCGGTCGATGGAGCCGTTCCATCTGACCGTTGAGTTCGGCTGTTCGGCTGCCAGAGAGTTCTGACTGACTGTGGCTGACTGCTGGTACAGTCATCGTTGGCTAGAGCAATAAGGGAATCGCGCGATATCACGCCATGCTGGATTCAGCCGGCAGGCGAGCGGGCGGGCGGCGGACCGGTCGCCGGACCGCGACACACGAAGAAGTCGCTCGTTCGGGTGAGCGAACTAACCACCGAAAGTCAACCAAGCGAACGAGATCCTAGCCCAGTGAGTCCAGAAACTCCGTTGTTGCATCTGGTCCCAGTTAATGACACTTAGGGCTGGGCTTCTCTGTTCGTGATTCCTACTCGATCTCTGAAGGGGAAATCAGGGAATCCTAATCTTAATCCGAATTACAGTCTACATGTGGCTGTGCCGAATGTGTATGTACATCAGTGTATGGGAATGATGATTCGATTCCGTTCAAACGCTTGTGGTTCTCTTCACGTGCCTCGTCGAGCGGCTTGATTTTCATCTTCTGCATGTGAACCCCAGCCAAACATATCGGAGAACCGCCGAAGAGAACGATGTGAACAGAAAAATCTGACGACGCTGGGCTTCATGTGGCTCGATCGAGATCGCTGGCGATCATAGGGTGCAGATGGCATTCTTGAAATTCTGGGTCCCAGCGCGACCCGAGCCCGGGACGCTTGCTTTCAGATTGCGAGGGAGTTCCACTTCGACCGCATGGCGACAAACGACAAACTTCGAATTGGATCTCGAACACTCGACGCCGGCGCCGTTCGCTCTACGTATGAGGAAAACATACTCCGAGATCAAATAATCACGCTGTCGATAGGACCTATCGGATAGGTGACAGCTGCATTAATCATTTTCGGCGGTGGAGTCTCTGGTGATGTCGCTCTTCTAGAAATTTGACAGCGCGACGCTTGGCTAATCCGAACGTATAAGGCCATGCCAGAGTTCTCTATGAACGCCGCCGGTAACGCTGTCGCATGCGATCGCGGCGAATCGTCAGCCTTGAGCCCATATGAATAGCTCCCATGCGTTTGAAGTCGCTTTGCATTTCCGTCGTCGCTCGAACGAATGACAGTCGAAAATAGTATTCTGCCGCTATTCGATGTTTTCTCCCGATTCAGGGAGTTCGAACTCCCGCCGTCCATCGAGCGCTCGGTCCTTCCTGCAGGGGATAGACCCTGATTCTGGCGGGAACATGTATCGACGTCAGCTCTGAGCGCGCGTCAACTGACTCACTCCGTGAGATCAATCAGAGAGAGGGTGGTGGTGTTTCGAGAGACAAACGTGTTGCTCGCGAACCTCAAATAATTGAGAAAAGGCGATCTCGCACTTGCTTCAAGGGTGCCGCAGGGAAGGCCTCGAGTCGTCTCTGAGCGCTAACCTGTTGCTTGATTAATTTGCTACCTAGGCGATCGAAGAAAGCTCATGAAGCTTTGAGAAAAGAAGTCTGTCGTTGGATTTTCTGGTTAATTTAACTTGGAATGAAGAGTCGGATCTCACATCCCGGATCAAGAGAGCAAAAAATATATTACCGTGCGATTCAATCAGATTTCCTGACAGTCGTAGGAAATTCAAGTTTTAATGGATGTTCACTGACGAAGGTTTGCGACGGATGCGGCGGATACCGATCAGCGCGAGCTTTCAATGGACGTCAAACGGCCCTCTTATATGTCCGCAGGCTCTGAAATCCGACGCGGACGGCTGGAAACCCTCTCGAACGTGGACGAGCAGCGCTCTCGCTGTTGTTCGAGCGCGGTCGGAAGAGAGAAAATCCGTTCGGATGACTAGACGGTAGCTCAAGCGCTGGCTCACGCAATAACGTTGCGTGAGGACAGTCTCCATGACTCACTCATCTTTGTCAACGAGACGGTGTCACCTAGAGCAGCGAGCGGATTTTCCCAGCCGATGTGGGTACCCTCGGTGCCGAAAACAGACGTAGCACCGAAAATTCTCGTGAGTCTGTGGCAGCTCGCTCTCTCGCTCCCCTCAACGTCCTCACAGAGTCGAATGCGATATCGAGGCGCTCGAGACTCATACAGTCAGCCCTCAGCCGGGATCGAGCGATAAAACGCTCACCTGTTCAAAGAATGCTGTTCAAACAATCACCGATGAATATATCGCTGCTGTTGCAGCGAATTCGTTTGGCCCCGGGGGCTCTCTCGTCACGATGATAGAGTCTGACGATGAATACGTTTGTTTATTCCGAATCTGAAACTCCTCTATGATGCGGGATTGCGAAATGAAATATCTCCAGGTCACGCTGGGTCAGCGCCACGTGGCGCGACTTTCTCTCAATCTTGAGCGATTTCCTCAGTCTAGCGGAATCCGGCGTGATTGATGGGGAAACGCGACGAGGAAGTGGCGCGGAAATTTTGATCAATCGTAAAAACTTATCTATCCGACTTCCAGCCAGAAAGCCTGATTCGCTACAAGGTGAGAAATTCAAGCCGAGTTCGGTGGCCAGAACACACATTCTACGCAACCGTGCTCGAGCGTTTTCTCACGCCGCTGCGGCGCGACATGGGGAATCACCGTAAAAACTATCGAGAACGTCAATCGCGGAAACCCGCGATACGTTCCAATAAGTTGGGTCTCGTTGTCCTGCGGTGAGCCGCTTCGACGGATGTTGGTTTCGCTCTCAGTCGATTCGCGACAATCCCGATCTTAGTCGACGGTCGATGGGCCGATGTTCAGAACGTCGAAAGTCAGCCGTGATTCGATACAGAGCTCATCCGGCCTGAGGAAAAACATGTTCCTACGTCATAGCACCAGCGTGTTCTCCCGCTTGCCGGTGGTTCGATTTCCTGAAGACGAGGTTTTCTCAATTTTCGAGTGACGAAGAACCGCCGATTCGATGTTGGCGATTGTTTCCTGTTTTGCTGGATCAATTCAAAAAAATGCGAGGCAACTGGGATATCCGTCTAAATCCTTCCGTGATCAGGGCCGTCTTTTCTTCGTACCATACACCGTCATTACGCTCTTTACTCAAGCGTCTCCAGAATCCCAGCGACTCTGGGCAGAAGCGTCAACGTCCACGATGCGCCGGCTTTCTGGCTCAGTCAGACATAGTCGGACAGACCGCTGATCCATCATTCGATTCCGAAGCTAGTCTTTTCCGATCGCCTCACTCGCAACCAGCGGCTCGGTGCCAAATTGAGAATCCTCCAGGGTTCAGAAAGAACATGCCCACCTAATTGAAAATTCCCGGTGGCCACTTTCGGTCAACAGAGAATCCAAGACCATCCCGACCCGACCCGGCCCTGTAGTAACCTTGGAGCATTCGAGAAAGCCGTGAGTTTCTTGCGCTCCGGCATGTCGCTCCTCAGAGCGGCCAGAGCGGTTGACTGATCGCGAAACGATTGGGGATTCACCGATGTCCTCGCCTTGCTCGGGGCAACCCTGACGCCGGGATGCCGATACGAATGCATGGGAACGCGTACTGCGAACCTCACGGATGGAGAAGTTGATTAGGTGCTCTCAGCTCGACACTGAAGTCAGCCGCGTCCCTTAAAACTATCTTTAACTCACTAACATATCCCGAATCGATCAACTCGCGCGAAAATCGCTAACGGAGAACAATGAGAAAGTATTCTGTCACAGCGCTTTATCAATACTTCAAAGTCGAATTTTCCTCCTGGAGACAGATCTTCGAGTCGAGGGGCTCATCGAACTGAATGCCGGCATTGTGTGCGTGGAGCAGTCCTGAGAGAGACGGGCTTATCTCAAGAGTGGCGATAGTCTCTCTGCAGGAGACGTCGGCCGCCATCATAGCGTTGCTGTGGACAGCTAACACGCTCACAATTTTCGGTTACGAGCCGGGAGTCGACGCTGCGTCCCGGGAGAACGGCTGACCTTCGACCGCTCAAACCCCAAAACACTCGGCTCCATCTTTGGGTCCGTTGGGGGATTCTTCCCGAGAAAATCTTAGTCCTTTCGATCTCTGAACGAAACTCTTCGATGTGTCGGGAGAAGAGCGCGACTATTGTCTCTTAGTGATTTTCGACTTTGCTCGCTTACAGGGGAAAAGGCGACCGAGCAGCCTCCTAAGACCCTTTGGGATGAATCTGCGGCTAATCGGAGGTGAGTTTCAAGTTTCTGAACTTATAAATAACCCGTGGGGGTGAATTTCGCAAAGCTTGTCCGAATCGCGCCTTTGCTACAACTGAGGAGTGCAATATCTGTATTTTCCCCTTCTCTCCAGGAGTCTCCTGTGTGACTTTGGGGCTCCTTTTGGTCTTCGTCTCTGTCGGAACCCTCTTGAACTTCAACTCGGTGTTCAGATGGATCTTGGGCAGGAGAGTGGTGCTGTCCCCAAAATCCCAAGGTTTTCCCATTTGGAGGGACGTATCGAAAAACTACGACACCAGAGTAGCGTGGTATTTATTCAACCTGACGAACCCGGAAGAGTTCAAACAAGGTGGGAAGCCAATCGTGAAGGAGGTCGGTCCTTTCTGGTACAAGTAAGTATGAGGGACGCTCCATTCCCATCCCATCCATTATCATCCGACGACGGGTTCCCCTCACGGAAGTCGAGGTCTTAATGAGAGCAATCTTCGCTTCCAGAGTCGATATTTCGAAGAAAAATATCACTTTCCACAACAACAAGACCGTCTCGTTCGAGGAACACAGATTCTTCACCTTCGATCCGGTGAACAGCGTTTCTGATGAAGAAACCAACATCACGATGGTCAACGTTCCCCTTATGGTGAGTAGACGTTTGGAATGGAGAGAGATAAACGGAAGATGTTCGAGCTCGACGAAGCTGGGCTCACCATAATTATATTCAGATTGAGGGCAGACTGCCTCGATCGAATCACTCTCTGCTCGAGCAGACCGCTTTTTTCGCAAGTTCAGATGATCAGTAATCAGTACGATTCAGCTGAAGAACGCATCATGATGATCTTCAATCGCTGCTCGGTCGGAAAAGAGGCAAACTATTGTTGCCAGCGACGATGGAAGCCGATTCCTAGGGAATATTACATTTCGCTTCCGATCACTCGCTATCATTCTCCTGAGATCGATTTCTTTCTGAATTTGGTCCGACTATTGTTCTGAGTCCTTCTCTGCTGTGGCCCTTATCGTACCGCGAAAGACGGATCGTGATGAGAAGTCATTTCCGAGTTTCCATCGAATGAGGACGCAGAGGCATCGAAAGACTCGTCCGGTTCTGATATGTTTCGATCTCAGGGTGTCTCGACAAAACCGTTCGCTGCGCTCGGTCCCTTCTTGGCCCTTCAAGAGCTCCCCTCGAACTTTCCGAGCTCATGGTGAACCCATCCATTCACCGAACATTCGCTCCTCTCTCGATCAGCCGTCGGCGTCGGTATAGGCTCGCCCTTTCGGAGGGATCCGGATAGCTCGATTCGATGATTGATTTTATCTCGCATGTCCACAGGCGGCGTTGCATAGAGGTGAGAATCTCGGCTGGCTCGCCAGAGGGGGCTTCGCTACGGTTATCGGAGCTCTAGAACAAGCTCAGCACGCAGTCGTGGTCTATAAGGTGAAGGAGTTGACGTACACGGGACAGTCAAACTCCATCGTGCAGTTGGCGACCCTGAAGGAGGGTTTTTTAACTTGGTTCTACAGCGGAGAAAACAAGAAAGGCAGATTCGGCTTCGGTGTTGACGTGAGTCTTTCACTGCTTCCGTGGAAGCATTCTACATTTCTCTCAATTATGATGAAATCATCCGCTCCGTTTTGTTCGAAATACTTGAGGCTTCCCCATCGAATCTCGAACGAAGAGGAAGATTAAATGAAGTCGTTCCGCGTTGCTAAAACGATGTGCCTCACTTTCTTGGCTCGCTTGCGTTTTTCGGAGCAGAGCTTCATGACGGAGTCGGTCCACAAAAGTCCAGTGCTTACGAAATTCCGTCCCGCAGAAGAATGATACAAACCCCGGAGTCTTCAATATGTACACCGGGGCGACGGGAGTCCAGGATCTCAACCGGATTCACTCGATGGACGGGCAACAGTGAGTTTCTGTTCCATATTCAGATAATCCTATCGCAAGACGCTTTTCAATCTGCCATGACCTTAAGCTCATCGCTCTTGCAGCGTCCGAGAGATCTGGAGTAAGCCGGAGTGCAATGTTATCGACGGCACCTGTAAGTTTCGCGGGGTTTCTTCAGTCGGATTGGCATAAGTCCATAATATCGGAGTCGAAGAGTTCCTCTGTGGCCGAGAAAACGATGGGTCCGACATTCCTTTCCTTACAGTCGGAAATCTCCGTCCTCCCATGAACGAGACGAACTCTACCCGTGTGTACGTGCCTGACATGTGCCGGGCTCTCGTCACTCGCTATCAGAAGGACGTTGAGTGGCACAAGCTGCGCCTCCGTCGATTCAATCTGACGATCGACAACTTCCTAAGCTCGAAGGAGAATCCCGACAACGTTTGCTACGATGCCTCATTCAAGCTGCCGTCAGGTAGTGTATGAAACACGATTGCTTCGGACCGGCATGCGGCTCCAAGATCCGGGCATAAAATTATATTCTTCCAAGGAAACCTGAAAGTTGCGTGATTCTCATCTCGGATAACTCCTTCTAGGTGTCGCTGAAGTCGGTCCATGCAAGAAAGATGCTCCGATAGTGATGTCCTTGCCTCATTTTCTCCAAGCGGACCCGCAGTTCCGCGCCGCAGTTGACGGAATGCATCCGGATCAGTCGCGTCACGAATTCGTAATGGACCATGAGCCGGTGGGTTTTTTTCCTGGTTCGAGCGATACTCGCATTCACCGCCCCCCACCTCCTTTGACAGACTCAGCAATGAGGAGTCATAGACAGTCAGTTTCGGGATCAGGGTATGACGAGGAGAATGCCTGGTGGGATTAATGAGCCAACACTATTTCATATCCACAGCTGACCGGTACAACCGTCCGGGTTCACGGCCGCATGCAGGCCAACGTTCGGGTGATACCATCGGACATGATGTTAGTATCTCGCATCTCGAGCGTTTTATGCTGACTTCGGCATACCGACCACATGCTTCCTCATCGGTGTCTTTCATTTGAGATCTCAATCTCGATTCTAATTGCAGTAATGACGCTGCGTCACTCCCAGAGGTTACACTGCCGCTTTTCTGGCAGGAGATGGTTAGTTTGATCCCGAATCTCGATTTTCATACATATCTGGGATCAAAGATATCTGGGAATAGGTTCATCTCACCACCGCCATCGAGTCAGCTGCTTGAATCTGTTTTTTCACTACAGTATGTGGAGGGCGGTCCCAATATCGTCTCATTCTTGACGAAGGTCAACGGCTACCCCGGTCTCGGCAAGATCGCAATGACGATCGTTGCTCTTTTCGGTCTCATCCTGGCGGTCATCGGCGCCGGACTCCTGATAGCGTGAGTGGCATCTTCCTAGCGATGAATGAGGACAGACTTCAGTTCAGACAATAATCGATGAGCTTGGCTCCACTGCGTTCAGTTAGGATAGTCGATTCCGACAGTGAGCTTCTAGTGAGAGGGTGGAATATTTCGAATAATCGGGACCGATTCACTAACAAAAAATCATTGCATTTTCAGCTCTTTGAGGGCTCAGCGGTCGGCGACGTTGCCGGATCCAAAGCACAAGGTCGCTTACTCTAAAGCAGCTACGACCGAACCCCGGGTAGACATATGAGCGAATTTCGGGTCGAGAACCTAGTCAAATGTGAGACTTGATCAAAACGAGAGTCGCAAATCACAACTAGGGCATGAAGGTCAGAAGTTTCCCTCGCCACTGCTACCCGGCGCTGCGTGTATAAAGTAAAACTCCCACTGCTCAAAGAGACTCGACTGTGGATCGAAGGAATCAAGCCAAAACGTCATGAGGCTCCGGCAGGGACCTCTAATGGCACTCAAAGTCTAGGCATTTAACTTGATGTATTTATAGGCAAAAATGAATTGGAGTGGTTTTATGAGCTGTAGTAAGTGTTCCACATGGATGTTAATGCTGATTCTAGTGAGAGGAGAAGGTATGGAAGGACTGGGATACAAGAGAAATATTCCATATTTTTCACACCGCTATGAATGTAAAAATGGAAAATACCCTTTTATATTTCTTTAAGAAACCTGAAGAAAACAAAGAACTTGAGAGATGAGATTTTCTCAATTGACTCAGATGTGTCGTCATTCTTTCTACCGGGGTTTTTCAGCTCGGGAGTTCGTGATCGCATCGCCTTGCGGTGATGAATGTTTCTTTGGAAGTTCATGCGAGGCTAGGTCTAGGTGTCACAGATATCAAGGCAGACGATGGCGGCGTCCCTGTTTTCGCTGATTGCGGAGTCTTGAGGGAGCATTGGAGTCATATAATTCTGGGGTCAGGGGTGTCGAGGCTCAGAAGAGCAATGATTGAGCTCGACTTTTTTTCCGGGTAGGTCTCAGGACCTCAGAACAATTTCCTCTGTAGGCAATCCTCCCGCAGCTTATATGGATTCACGCTCCTCGATACATTCATATCGCTTCATCCGATTACTCGCTCGGAACCCTCTGGATCTTGCGGCGCGGAGGGCGCAGATTCCGCGGGAATGCAGGTCTGTGGACTCGATCTTCCCTGCAACGCCTCCTCTTTAGGGTGGAAGTCGCTCTCGATGGGAAGAGAGATGTGCATCCTGGCGTACATGGTTCATTACCAATGTGATTCGCTCAAGCTGCAATACCTGAAGAAGCCTGAAGATGCTGCGGAAGCGGCTCAAGTCGCACATATAACTTGACTTCCAACATGAAATACGTTTTCCCTTGGACGGCTTCACTTAGATGTTTTGTGTCGCCGCATCGATCGCGGCCGCTTTTTCGCGTCTACGCACCAGTTTCCCTTCCCAACATTCGCTTCGCCGGCTCTCGAAAGTAGGATCGGAAATCGGAATCTCGAATGACCTACGATGCGTATCTATGTAGCGCTCGCGTCTCACCAGCCGGAAGGCCTATGAGTGTATCCGATGGGGCTTCCCAATGCGTAATGATGCGTTATGCAGAGCAACCCACGGGATCAGGAGCATGAGGCGGAAGTCGATTTTCCCTCTCACGATGGAGAGATTCCCTCCGAGAACGTTCCACGATGATAGTGTTTCGCCTCAGCCCCGGAATGGACCGAGAAAGGACCGAGCTCGGCAGAGCGCAGCTATCGGGAGTCTTTTACCCTAACCAGAAACGACCTCAATTCTGTTGTCCGATGTCGAAGTGCTCGAGGCGCATGACCGTGAAGGGTCAGGAGGAGACCCTTGGTGCCTTTCATTGATTGGACAAAAGAGCGACACTTGGGCGGCCCTAAAATGCCCTATTTGGCAAGAGAAACTCATAGATCTCAAAGTGAAATTGAGAGACGCCGACTCGAATAGGCAAGCGAGAGCCAGTCGAGGTTCTCAAGAGCCCGGAAGTTCCGTCGCCCGGGTGCAAGAGACCCGCTCTCCGTCGCGTATGTCAAGCCTCCGAGGATCGCGTCGGGGCGCCGAGAGGCAACAAGAGACGGTGCTGTGGAGTGCTTTTGTTCCGGAACCGAGTACCTACAATACTTTCGATCGTAATTCGTCGATTGCTGATGGCTCTGAACGGGCTTCGTGCCACTTTTCCGCTCTGAATCATCGAGAGGATGAAAATTTTGACTCCGGAAACCGAGGATTCAAACTCCGTTCGCATGCTTCCATCGCGGATTCAAAGCCACTGCGGGGACAGTCCAACGATAGATGGTCGAGGTACCCAATCGTAGGTACAGTCAAGTGCCGCTAAGTTGGAGCTCCTATAAGTTGGAAAACTCCTCTAACTTATAATTTAGAGTCGCTTTTCTCATGGTTTGCTAAGTAAAAGCATAGACCCCGTGTTGACTCTCTCCTCTAACTTATAAAACCTCCTCTAACTCATAATTTGGAACGATTTCGCCGCCCTAAGTTGTAAAGCGCGGAAAAATGTCGAGAATCGCAGCCCATGGACCAGGGCATCATTTGTAACGTGAAACAGTTGTACAAAAAAAAGCTGGTCGAACATTACTGGGCCATGGCACAGGCCGGTCAAGTGAACGAAATGAATTCGCTCCAGGGAATCCGGTTCCTGAGAGACTTGGGATGATGTCAAAACTTCCACCATATTCAACTGCTTCAAGAAATGCCTCCCGAACGTTCGGAATGCCAGCGCTCAAAGTGAGAACAGCGATGACATAGACGAACCGGATCGAATGATTATCCGAGACTGTTTCCCCATTTCCATGACTTTCGGGGACTTCGTTCAGGCTGATCGGCAACTTGTGACTTCCGATGATTTCGAGCCTGAACACAATGAGGTCCTCAGCGAAACCTCGGATGAAGAACCCGAGTCCCCCTTCGAGGAGCCCAGTTGTGGTTTCTTGACCGGCCAAGAGGCTCTCCGAGCCTTGGCTACATTGGTCAACCATTGCTCTCAGAGACAAAATATTGTTCCAGGGATCAGCAGGGCTCTACATCAGTATCGAGATCTTGTTATTTGTGACATTCTAGAGGAAAAAAGACAGGCAGATCTTCGATATTATTTTTCGAAATCGAAGCCTTAGTTGTTTGGTTGTATTTTGAAGACGGGAATTGTATTGATGGGGACTGACTTTGCTCGGAACGGTAGATAGTAGAGACTGAGTAGGGTACATAGTCAGGACTCTCCATAAGTTAAAAAACGTAAATCCGCATGGAGAAGATGGAATAAATTAAAGCAGATATCCGTTCATGATCACTATCGTCAATTTTATGCCTGCATTCATGGGGGCAGATAATAATCAGCGCGCATCTGTCCGAATTAATCCGGTCTAGATTGACCCTCCCCTAACTCATAAGTTAGAAAAAATATTCAAACCCTACTCCCGAATTTTACAAGTTAGCGGCACTTGACTGTAGTCTGACTCAACGCTTTGCGAGGCTTTGACTCTCGCTAAGCTGATCGCACTAATGCTCGAAGAGAAACTCGGGAATCTCATTGGCGGGCCACGGCTGACGATTACCTCGAACGAAATAAGCCCGATTGGCGAGACGAAATATATCTCATACCTGGACGCAGCTCGAGATCGCGGACTTCTCTGGGAGCCGCGAGGCTCTTGTCCAAATCTCTCGGCCCCTATGGACTCGAAGCATCCTCTGTCGAACCATTCATCAAGTTATCCAGTTATTCACACCTCTCATGCATTCGCGATGGTCTCCGGTCACCAGGGCCTTCCTCATAACATTCCTGAGGTGCGAAAAAAAGGCAAATGAGTTCATCCAAGGGACGTTCATCACAATATTGCCGGGGGGCGTACCGTGCCTCTGACGTTATCGATTCGCAGGTCTGACCCACAATGGGATGTTCCCCTTGGATTTGAACTCAATTCACATTTGATATTCAATTTTATTCATCCACATCCATCAGTATACTAGCGAAACCCATCGCGCTGCGCTGCGACAACCGCAGCTCGAGGGGACAACAAACGGCGGAACAAAGTTCGTGAAAAGCGGACCAACGAATTGCGCTCATGGAGGAATTCTTGCAATCCCCGACCAATCTCCCCTCGTCCCGGAATCGAACCGGCAGCGTTGTCCGACCTATTCATCGGTATGTCACATGATCTTCTATGAAGTAAATCTGTTTGTTTTCTTCGTCCGGGAATGGCAGAAGTCACCCCGGCGAGACGATTTTGACTCTGTTTTTTGAAGGTTGGCAAGTACGAGCCCCGCGTGATATCGGTCGCGCCGAAGTACGTCATCTGGAAGCATGAATTGTACCTTCGGAATATTTCCCAGGGAATGCTTCAATTCAACCGAGTGATCGGAGACCAATGAATTAAATGGTTCCAGCGGTGATCTTAACGCAGGTAGCCCGACTTTCCTCCCTGCCCAGCACATTCCCGGGGTCTCATTCGGGAATTTCAGTGCTCGGCGGTGGCCACAAACTTCTTTCATGGGACCAATATTGACGCTAGGATGGCCCGAGAATTGTAGGCGGAAGCTGTTCGGTTAAGGTAAAGCAAGCCACCCGTATTGTGTGAGCTTTCCGGACTCAATTGACTGCTTGTCGGGAAACCTTCGCTCCGTGGGCTTCGTTGGAGCGGGACAGAGGAATGCGCAAACGATCGTCAGACCCGTCTGAACATTCGCTGCTTGCTCGGCTCGACACGGTTCCACGGTTGAGAATACTGAAAGAAGAGATAAGAAAGGGAGGAGATTCTCTCTACTCAAAGAGAAGCCAATGGTCATCTCGAGCGAGCGTCAAGAGAAATGGCGTCTTTCTTCGGACTTCCGAAGAAAGTCCGAATCGATATCGGAAACAACGAAATTCAAGCGAAAAAGCAAACCGGTATTCCGACGTGAACCAAGTGACGGTGTGCAGAATAAAACCATGACATCCTTCCACAGACCTCTCCGCAGCTAGAGACGGAATCTTGTGGGAAATCCCTGAAGTTTTGAAAACACAAGGGTTGAAACCAGCCCACATAAAGATTTACACAGTGGGCCCCGCTTAACGGAACCAGATCGGGACCGAGCCATCTCTAATAAGCGGTTGGTCCGACTAACCGGACAAATGATTTGGAATCCTCATCCGGCAATCCTAGTTTCGGTCCGATTAGAACGAGGTTCCGATTATACGGTGGTGCCAATAAGCGGAGCTCACTGTATTTGGAGCTCACTGTACTATCTATCGATGCAACTTTCGTTTTTGATTCTTCATCCCGAAAAATTTCTCGATTGAGTTCGAAAGTCACCAAGTCGAAACTTTCCTCCATTCTTGGCATTCCTCCAGGCCATTTCGGTGCCCTGGAACCTTGATGCCTGGGGCGGAGCGCACCGACCCCCCCCCTCAACTTTCGGGAACGTCACTCATAATACCTAGCGACTCTGCTGTCCTTACTTCCCTCGACTATGTACCTATGAGAAGCTCATCCCCCATCTCGAAGAAATCGTTCACCGTAGTCGAGGAGACAGGAAGGCACCGTACATACGGTGTCTTCGGATAAATTCTGGATCATTTCGATCGAGCATCTGCTGCAGCGTCTCGAGTCTCGTTCGAAGGTTCTGACCGTCGGTGGCTCCAGTTAGTTTCGACTCCATCCCAGTCCGGCGCCGCCCCTAGGTTATCAGAAAGAGAACTTAGGTGTTTCTCAAGCTATTCAAGAGATCTCGGACGGACTCGGGCTAACTTCCAAGGGAGGACTCATATTCTCGACAAGTCGGAAATACAGCCCTTTCTCTTATGCGGATCGGCCTCATAATCGGAGGAATCCGGTACAGGAATAGATGATGAATTATGCGCATGTCACTAGTGATTTTCCGAATGCCTTTTTTATTCCGAAACTCTTCCATGGGATCATGTCGATACACCTTGCAGGAGCTGACGTGTCTGACTCTATCGGGAATCACCTCACTCGAAACCTGGAGCGCACCTGACTATCAATCCTTGTTGAGGCGCCGTTTCGGACGACGCTTCTGTAGCTGCTTCCGCGAGATTCCCTCCTCGCTTCCCGCGATGTCCAGAGCTTCGATGAATTCTGAAGGTTCATCATCGGCGTTCACTGTACTCCGTCCTCTCAGGGCGTTGCTGATCGCCGCGCAATCCCCGTGGAACGTCCTACGCCTTGGCTGAGGTCGGGCACTGGATCGGACCGTCGGCGTCGGGTCGCGATTGAGGACCTTCGCCAAGTGACCGTTGAATCCCACAGGGTGGATGGGTTCGCTCCGGACTATCGGTTCAATACTCGGAGTTTCGGGTTTCGGATCCTTCGTGCACCAAAAATTTTCATAGGTTGATTCTGTGACAGTGACCGGACGCGTCTCCGCAACTGGAGGATTCGACCGTCCAGGGTTCCTGGAAAGCTCGAAGATGTCGGGATAGGCTGGATCGAAGAGAACGTATGTGCCTGCCGGAGAAGCCATCGTCGCTGAGTCACTGCGAATGATTGTATTCGGGTCTGCAACACTTCTTTTAAAAAGATGAGAAAGAGCCTCCGATTCGCTCGATTCAAATTCCCGCAATCTTGTTTTGGACTCTACTCTCAGTCTGGATCCTCTCCGCGCTAATTGATGCGAGGATCGACGCCTCGCGATCTGATCGCATATCGGCTCTCGATAAGTTGTGCCAATCCGGAAGCTTGATTGAAAGTTCCCGGGAGTCAAAGGGAAGAGAGATCGCAATCGTTTTGAAGACGACTCCTCGACTGTCGAAAACAGAATTCCACCCGTAGACCACGGCGAATCGGTACGGCGCACGGAAGAGTGAAACAATTAGGCGAGCTTCCATGATACTGCCGGTACGGGGCCGTAATTCGTGCTTCATTCAGCTCCCAGTCTCGGAGCACACCATTCTGGGACGTGCGTCGATCTCGATAATGAAATCGTCGTCTCTCAACAGGACAAAATTCAGACATCAGATGCCTAGTCCTTGTCGCTGAGAGCAGGCCCAGAGGCGCTCAAAACATCCAGAGGATACATGGAGCTCCTACAACGGGCTCCGGTTGGAACCATCATCCAGGAGACGGAGGCTCAGAGCCCCTAATGCTTGAACCCCTCTTCGGCCGTGATTGACGCTCGACTTCTGGCGCTGCTGAATTGTGTCCCGTGTCGCTACCCGAGGCGATGCTCCGGGTTTCTCATTCTTTCGTCCGCGGTGGACAGGAATAGCGCCCGTCTCAGGATTTGTCATAAAAAAGTACCCTGGTCTGGCGCAGCGCTGCGTCCTAGATTGCTCATTAAAGCAGCACTAGGTCCAAGGTCCAGGAATGCAACGAAATATGTGTAACGGATACCGAAACTTTCGACATTGACCGGCTAATTAGAAGCTCTCAGGGTCTCCTATTCCACATGCGGGATTGATACGACGCACGCACCCGACTTCGCGAACGCATGAGACTTCGTTGAGCTCGGAGTGTGGTACCGGACTGTGGGAGATGAGATGCGCTGGTCTCGACCGAAAGCATTCATCAATGATCCAGACTCGTCACGAAAATCATCCGGGCTCGATTGTTTTTCAAGTCTATAATTTTTGATGACGGACGTGGGAAGCTCTTTCTCGAACGACGATGGCTCCTCGGTCCATTAGTCCACACTACACGGAAAATCGGTACGGCGAACGGGAAATGGAAAAAAGGGCAGATGCTCGTGGTCTGTGACACGGGAGCATCGTGGGAGAGGGATCTGCGTAGAGACTTCGCGTCATCAGTGTCCCCGTCATTTGCGTTTCGCGTCGGTCCTGTGCTTTTGTAGTGCTCTCACGGCGCCGCGGCGCTATGGTGCCGTAGTCCGTCGGGGCCGTTCGTATAAGTCGATCTCAGTGCAGCCTCGGTATTGCATGCATGGATGTCGGCTGATCGGTCGGGAGCATACTGGATGGCTGTGACGAACCCGATATCTTCGCCTGCACGTTGCAGGCTTCCTGCGCCTCGGAGACGAATGAGAAGCTGCCCACATGGCCACGATGACCTCCCTCCACTAAGATCCCAACTTCTTCCGCTTTCTACGCGCGTCATCGCATGTCCGCGCCTCTGGCTCCCGACAGCTTGACTCTACAGCTCTTCCGGCGACGCTTTGCCGGAGAATGAGTTCAATCAGCGAATAATCCTGTCCAATATAAGATATATTGTCCCAAGCCGATTTTGACGCTTTACTTGCGTTCACGCGCGCCATGGAAGGCTTCACTTTGGCGGGTCCCACCGCTCATCCCCGATTATCTATTCGCCAAATCTCGGTTCTCCCGGCAATCGTCACCTGATAAGCTTTTCCGCGAGAGTTCGCGCGCTGGTTTTGTGGCGTCTCTCAGGAAGTTTTCGAGCTGTTTTCGCAACGAAAAGCTCGCGAGGGATGATATGTGTATCATACGAAGTCCACCGAGCGTCTCGAGCAATAATTAGTCACGTTGGCGGTGAATCTCATTCATCATCAACACAGAGGATCTGAATCGCTGCTCGGGCTCCCGAAGCTCAAATTTCTGCCCGTGAAGCTGAAATTAGTCTGAGGCACCGAGACTATTTCGTGACTGATCTGTATGCCGGTATTCTAGGTCCACAAATCGGAACGCAGGAGAGAAAAATGAAAAATCGGACTCTGCTCCCAGTGGCGTACGCAGGATTTTTCTTGGGGGGGGCTAGATCGGGTCTCCGCATGGGGCTGAAATCCAATATGGCGATTCGCTCCTATACTACAGCATTACTAAGAAACCATCTGGGAGGGGGCTATAGCCCCCTTAGCCCCCCCCCTGCGTACGCCCCTGTCTGCTCCGTCTCGACGATTCCACGACTATACTTTCATGACGACGGCAAAATGTCGACATGAGAACGCTCGGGTCCGCCTCTGGCCGCGGCGGTCAAATCGGAACCGGGCGGGTGTGAGCTCATCGTGATATCGCATACTACGATGAGCTCATTAGAGAAGCTTTCATTCGTCGGGTCATTCGAGCACGAGCTCTGAGAGACGCCGCCAAATCAGCTGGTGAATATTCGGGGAACGACTGTAAAATGACCGATATTCGGGGGAGCGATAAATGGAAACATTCGGATGAAGAATTTCGGCTAGAATCATGACCTGCGGAGAATTCCCCTCTGATGACCGAGCGCTGGAAGAAATCCCATCTGCCGACATCAACGCCCTTGGGAAACGAAGCTGTACACGTTTTGATCTAAATTTTTGCCCTATCATCGCGGAATAGCTCCTTCAATAACAGAGTCAATCTGATGATTTCACGACGAAGAGCAGGTAATGAGTGAGGCTTCCCGCATCGGGTCTTCGGATTCTACCCGGATCTCCTGATTCAGGGCAAATCCCTAGAGTTAGGAATTTGTAGATGCGCATCTGTGTGTCTCGCGTCAATAGTACATAGAAGGACGCGCAGAGGTCTCGCGACGACTCTTCTAGGTACATACTATTTCACTATTGATCGTTGGGGAATTCGGAATCGAGTTTCCATCGCTGCGGGAATGTGGAATCCTTCTGAGCTCTCAACAATCGAGACTTTCTCATTCTCGTGGGGGTCTCTTTTCTTTCCAGAGGTATCGAATGTCGCTCGACGACCGTTCCCAGGAATTGGGACACAAATAATGACCCTTCATGTTCAACGACCTTCCTTCTAGGAATATCACTCGTGACGTGCGGACTCCCTCTGCTCATAGTTTCAGTCGGAGCACTGTTGAACCTCAAGTCTGTTCTTCGGAAGACATTGAGCAGCAAAGTTGTAATGACCTCGGATTCTCGGGGTTTCGCCTGGTGGAAGGACGCATCGGAAAGTTTCGACACGAGAGTCGGTTGGTATCTCTTCAATTTGACAAACGCTGATGACTTTAGACTTGGGGAAAAGCCGGTACTCGAAGAAATCGGACCTTTTTGGTACAGGTGAGCGTTTACTCTTCGTATGCTCAGTGGGATAGCATCCTATGGTGACATTCGATTCGCGTGAGCGGCAAACAAGGGAGCCGGGAATACGAATTTCACGCGAAGAGCCTCCGATTATCCTTACTCTTATCTGTGCGGGCACCTCGAACTCTCAGAATCCATCGACCGGTAGCCAAATCCTCCTGCCAGCCACGGCGCGGCGTCGAAAATATCCGATCGCATGAATCAACCGATTCGATCGATCTTATCGAGCTTTGTCGGACTCATCTCAGCCAACGAACTCTGTGTCCACGAAAAATCGAGTTATTTGCACGGCGTTGAATTCATCGTGATGGGGGTCATCAGCTCGCTATTCAGCGAATCCTTCTCATACGTTTTCATGTTTTTGTCGAAGTAGTACCCATTCACGGGCGATTCTACGCTCTCAAACTTCCCTCGCGACTCCTTCGAAGTGCGAGTTATTCCTCTTTCCAGGGTGAACATAACGAAGAAAAACGTCGTCTTCCACGGCAACGGAACGACTTCCTTCGAAGAACACAGAGTCTTCTTCTTCGACAGCGCTAACAGCGTCTATGATCAAGACACGAACATAACCATTGTCAATGTTCCACTTATGGTAAGTCGTCACAGCTAGAACAAACGACTATCCACGCAATGATCGGAGGTCAAAGGGCGAGATGGCTTCGATTAGCTTACACGATACACATGTACACAGTACTGTTTCCGAAACACGAGCACCGAATAGTAGCCGTTGAGTGGATTATCGTTCTCCCCTCCGGTGGTCAATCCAAAAAATTGTATTTTCTCGATGGCGGAGTAATGAGTTCACATCCACCCCCAATCTTGTTCACTTTGAGCTAAATAGGTAATCGAGAAATCCATCCACAGGCTGCGTTGAATAAGGGAGAAAAAATGTCTGGTTTCGCCAGAATGGCTCTCGGGTTAGCTCTCGGTAATATGGAAGATGCCGAGAGACCAGTCGAGACATACACAGTCAGAGAGTTGACTTATGGAGGAAGACCGAATACTCTCATCGCATTAGCTCACTTGACCGAAAGCATCGAGACCTCGGTGTCAGACGAGCAGGACAAGAGCAATCGTTTCGGCTTCGCCGTTGATGTGAGTACGGCGCAAGTCCTGGTGGCAGTGACATTCTTCATTGACGTAAGGGACTAAGACGCGTGTCCGATACATTGCGCTTGGCGCATTCGTCGAGTCCTATAGCCTGCGTTTCTCCCCGCCTTGGGAGGGGGATCGCGTTTGTTCTGCGACGAATCATGCGAATGACCGCATCGCTCCAGCGGGGACAATTCTCCGTCCCAAAGATTCCATGAGCGATCCGTTCTCCCTGAATTTCCTGTCTCGAGCCAGATTATCGATTCCACGCTTCTCACTCCCTCCGAAAATTCCATTCCCAGCAAAACGACACTAATCCAGGGATATTCAACATGTATACGGGTGAGACCAGTATCAAGGATCTAAACAGGATCCATTCGGTGAACGGAGAACAGTGGGTCGGAGTTGCGTATTCGAGATTCTTTCCAATGCAGTAGATGAAATCCCTCCGATACCGAGATTCGAAGGGCTTTTCAGCATTCGGAGGATTTGGCAGGAGCCTAAGTGCAATGTCGTCGACGGAACATGTAGGTCCCGATCGATGGATGAGACGTGACCTATCCGAACGTCGTGCTCGAGAAAAGTCAGAATCGCCACATGAAATCACGCTCCCCCGTGGAGTGCTGAATGGTCATTGTTGAATATGAGCATCGAGGACTCCTTCTATTACAGTCGGTACCCTGAAGCCTCCCATGGACGAGAGCGGTAGCACGCGCATCTACGTGCCGGACATGTGCCGCACAATTACGACTCGGTATCAGAGAGATGTCGCATGGCACGACATTCGCCTTCGTCGATTCAATTTGACAATCGACAATTTCCAAAGCTCTGAGGACAATCCAGAAAACTTCTGCTACGACAGGGAATTCCGTCAACCTTCAGGTAAGAGAATGAACACAAGATTTTCTGACAGCGGCCGATGAAGGATTTTTGTTCAAAATAATTACACTCGCATTCGAACATCCGCGTGAGAAGGTATGGGATTCACTGTCCACAGTAGGCACTTTGAACCTCACTGAGAACTTGGTATTGTCAAGTGACTAGGTAATACAACAAAGAATAAATAAGTTACTAAGTAAGGAGGCGGGAAAAGCGTCCAGAAACTTCATTCCAGGCATTGCTGAACTTGCACCTTGCAAGAAGGGGGCCCCCTTGTTCATATCCCTTCCGCACTTTCTCCAAGCCGACCCTCTCTTCGAGTCCCGAGTCACCGGAATGAAACCCAACGCATCGAAACATGAATTCATCATTGACCATGAGCCAGTAGGTCACTTCAGTATGAGCGTGCTGTTTTCCGGAAATTATCTCGCGATCATCGTCGACGAGCGAAGCCGATCGTCAGCCTTTCCCAGAAGGGAGTGATGAGACAGATGACGTTCTCCTCCAACTCGGAGCTCAACTTTCCCTTCGCTTCTAAGACGACAGGAATGACAGTCAGAGTCCGCGGACGTATACAGGCCAGCATTTTTATAATGCCCTCGGATCTGATGTAAGAATCGGGTTGTGGAGCCCATGGGACCGTCTCTATCTCCATAGAAAATTTTTCAGAGGGTATAAAGCACGGTGTCAGCCTTACTGTTTCTCTTCCGAGCAGCGAAGCAGCTGAGAATCTCCCGAAGGTCGTTCTGCCTCTTTTTTGGCAAGAGATGGTGAGCCGAAAACCGAAAATCCCACACTCATTGTCAGCCAGCTCAGGCGATAAGGGCCGCCCCGCAGACTCAGATTCGCATTTCAAACGAGTACTCGTCCTCAGTACGTAGAGGGTGGACCTACCATTGTCGAATTCTTGTCCATGATCGATGATTACCTGAACGTCGCCACATTGGTCATCAAGGTCCTAGCAGTTCTGAGTTTCGCCATGGCAATGATCGGAATCGCGTTTCTCGTAGGGTGAGTTTAAGACATAATAAACTCTTGTCCGAGTTTTCTGTCCCGATGCAGAAACAATTGAGATTTCAGGCTTCGATAGGTTGAAGCTCGGCTGCGATGCTCAGTGAGCCTGAAGAACCCTCTGGAGTTTTAGAGTACCGCATCGATACCGCCTGGTCAGAGGTGAATGGCGATGCAAGCCAGAGTACTCGAAGAATTATATTTTCACCTATATCGTATGGAGTTTCATCAGAACGATCGCGCACGCACGCAAAGGTACCGGAGAGCAAACTAGTCAAACGGAGAATTTTAGAACCGATGGAAAAAAACTACTCTCGTTCTTACACTAATTCTGGTCTCGTCCAACGTCAAGACCAAAAAGTCCGAGACCTGGGCTCGCTTTCTCCGACGGAGCTTTCGTCGCTGGAAGATTTGCGCGCTGGTCGGCGCTCTACAAAATCCGGAGTCAAGGCCCGCTGAATCCCGCGACGGGGTCGTGGCCGAACAAGTCGGCACTGACAATGTGACGTTTGCCCTCGATTTGTGCTCCGATGCGGCCACAGATATTGCGCTCGCGAGCGAGATCCTTCGAGCCACACATCTCGAGCGATACGAGAGTGCGACTACCGGACGTCGGCGTCGTGCTCACCGTCTACGTGAATCCGATGCGAGCGAGCATGCTGTTATGAAGTAAATGCAGAGAGGCGTACGGACGGAATCTCTCCCAGAAATGGAGGGGCGACTGCTTCCTTTCCCTAACATTCAGCGGTTTTCCATTCCTCGTGTATAGCGAATCAACTTATTCTGACCTGGACTGTACCACGATTGAGCTAACCTCGCATGTTCCTTCATTCGGGTTCCGGAAGAGCGAAGAGATAGCCTCTTTCTCTCTAGCCGAACTGAATTCTTGAACCCCGTGGGGAGACGCAGTCCCATATAAAATTGACGTCATTAAGACATCATGGTGAGTCTCCCTTGGACCAGGAGTCACTCTCCCACAATTCCTCTCTCTGATCGTTGCTGGTGTAGAAAGACGCTCCATTGGGCAAGCGGAGAGGGGACATGCTCTTTATTAGGAAACATTCCCCCCCACCCCCGAGCCTATAACGGAATCAGAGAAGATTCCGATCGGGTGCTTGACTCATCGGTGTCTGCTATCGCCTCACGGTTCACGGCCCGAGAGCCGTCCGCGGCGACTTCTCGCCTGGCTGCTGCATTGTCCTGTCATCATTGAGACTCTCGTCAGGAATGTACGAAGAGGTCGTTCAGATCGATTTTGTCGTAAGGTTTCACCACGGAATTGTAAGAGAGAATTATAGATTATTCAGCTCACCATTACCGTTTTCATGAGGGCGATCAGCATAAGTGCTCGTGATCATATTCCACCTCCTGCCGGTGCAGCTGCGATCTTCTCCTGGTTCTGGGGGAGGCACTAGTCTCGGCGCATAATCCCATACAAAAGGTTCCGCAAACAACGCAGAGCTTCGCTTAAATGAGGGAAAAAATTTCCGGTTACTCTAGCATGGGATCTCAAGTCATGTCTCTGATTGGGCTGAGGTCATGGAATAATTTCGGTGCCACTTGAGTTCCGACCCTCAACGATCTCTCATGGTCAAATAACGAGGAGAACAACAACGTCTTCCAATCGGTCCGAAACGAGTCTCCAAAATCACGAGAAGCCAATCCTGCCGAAGGAGCGCCGGCGCCGCAGGACGGAACATCGAGATCCGGGCGTGGTCTTTCAGAGACTTCCTCGCCGGGATTCTGGATGATACCGTTCACGACAGCCGTCGCGCTCGCATATGGTGGAGTTTGTGTTGCAAAAAGCAGTTGGATATAGCGTTCGATGTTCCATGAATCCTTATGTCACTCGCCAGTCGTGGTGGGAGATCGGGGGCATTCAATCGTTCCGGTTTGAGGACTCGGAAGTGAGGCCTCCTGCTCGATTCTAGACGTCAGTTCTCCAAGGAATCCTCCCGCGTCGTCAGCAGATCCGAACGATCACCCGAACAGATGCAGAGTAAATGAAGCTCGATCTCCCGCATCGCTTGTCCATGCGCTGAAGCAGAACTTTCCAAAGTAGAACTCAATCGAATCGATTTTGTTTTCCGATCGCATCGGCTTGTCAAGCACCGCCGATCCGGGTGGTACACGAGATTTCATGTGCCCTCTTGGGAAAAGTTTGCCGCCCTCTTTCCAAGGGCTGCCTACCCGGCCTTCACAATTGTGCTCAGTCGTAAGAGTCTCAACGTAACCTGGACCTCGATATAGCTCCCGGCATTTTTACGTCAGACAGATATTCGCGCCGAGCCGCAGAAACTTGGGAAGGTCGAGCAAGAGAACTCGATGTGACCGGATGCATTCAACTCGTGCGGGATAGGGAGATCGAGGACGAACTTCCAGTCACAACATGTTTGTTGACACAAGATAACCATCGGGACCTATTCTGGCCTCGGTTCGGCCTATTCCTTGGAGAATGGGAGCGATATTCAGAATTTGGGCTCACGACCGATGACAACCGGAAGCTAACAATGAGCTATGCGAATCACTGCGGGGCTCATCGGCGGCGTGCGCTGGGGTGTACGGTCCACGACACAGAGTCCAATCACTGCTTCGAGACCCGATCTCATATTATTCATGTGATTGAGGATCGTGACTCAACTTGGAGCAAAATCAGCCGCCCAGCGGTCTTCCCACGATTCGACCGACTCACAACAGCGTTAAAACAACGGAGCTGTTAGAAGCTGCTCGAAGCTGAATTGTGGATCTTCACGTCCGACGGAGACCGCGAAGATTCCGCGGGAACGACCCCCGGAGGAATGTAATGCGGGAAACCTGCTCAGTGAATCAGGATCCTCCGCGAGAGTGGTTCTCAGGTAAAGCTCCCGCAGGAGCCGGGGGTCCCTTCACCCGTCCCTGAGTAGTACTAGCTGTCCAATCTCTTTGCAGCTTTGGAATCCCGCACCGAGCTTGTCGCCGGAGTCGGGAGTCGAGCATGTCGCCGATCGGGGCTTCGGACGCTTCCCAATAGTCGGTGAGTCCGGTACTTCCCCTCCGAGATTCATAAACGTGAATCGACATTGCAAGGCTTCTCAAGGAATATGATTGCGACGGGAAAGGAATATGTTTTGAGAAACGCCCATCTCAGGAGTCTTGGTTTCGGAGAAAAGCGGGAGGGGGTCTTGGGGAACCTCGCTCCGTAGAAGATGCCGACCTTTCGGAAAAGACGAATCGAGGGAAGCATCATTGTCCCGACGTCGACTCTCGATTGGGGGAAGGTCTTCCCGCCAACACCGTCCGACCCCGATCTCCGCGGCGGTGAAATATGCAGTACACACAGGAGGAGCGATGCAGCAGGAAAGAGCACTCTTCACGTAACCCCCCGAGTAGGTTCTCGACGCGATGCTGTTTTGTCGACTGCATGAGCGACGTGCATACTAGATTGCTTGCTCTTCGGCCCCTCCAGGTATGTTCCGCTTCTTGTTTACGCATGTACCTCTCGAAAGTAGCCGGGAAAATGAATCGTGGAAAGCGAGTCTTTCAATTTCGATTGCTGAGCGATCGTTCCGCAGTTGTTCCCCTCCACCGGGTTCCGGGATAAGCATCAGTCTCGTTCGTGACGTAGAGACGAGGAAAATTCCCGAAAAAATTCCTCCTGTCCGGACGCATGCGCTTCCCTAAGACTCCGTATCATGCTTTGATACGGCGAGAGTTTTCTATGGAATTGTGAGCGCTGTCTATAATGTCCGTATCGATGCGAAATCCAAGTCCGCCGTCGACGATTCCGGCAGACCTCAGAGTGGCGGATCAATATTGATTTCCCCTGCCAAAAGGAAAGAACTTATGTCGGACTCTCGAATTCCCCATGTGATTTCGCACAGCTCGAGTTGTGTTAGGGCCATCCGGTCGACGCGGACACCACGGGTCGCTGCGGTGGAGTTTTTCCTGTGGGAGAGGTATCTGCATGAATAGAGAAAGGTATTCCATTGCAATGAAGCGGAGTCATCGGAATGCTCGAACCGATATCATGTGAGAGGTTTCTCCTGTTTGATGGGCAGGATGATTAAGCGAAAGATTTTTGACAGCAGCGCTCTAAATGCTGTGTCCTAGGCGCGGGAGACAAATCTCTGTAGGTAGTGCTTGACCGATCTAGCCGCGACCAGTTCCTGAGGCTCCAGAGATGACTAGACAAGTTTCCTCCCAAGCAGACGGACATATTTCTCAGAACCAAGAGATAGAGAGACCTACCTGACAGACCTTGTGCGAAGGACGCGGAGAGAGAAGTTGGGAAATCGTTCTCAAACGCCAGACTCGGTCGAGACGGAGGACAATGACGAACGTGGACTTCCGAACAGCACGAGAGTCTGCTCCTTCGTGATATGCTTAGTTGTTCTCAGAATTTCTTGAATAGGGGGAGGCCGGTGGAGTGAACTCATTTCCGCAATTTACCTACGCCTCCGAGGTCGGAAAGCTATCGCCGCGCTCCAGTTCCTCGTCTTCTAAGTTTGACGAAGATTGGACTGGCGATAATTTCTAGAATTTTTCCTTGTTCGGGCTCTTCGACTCATACCACTCTCATCGAATGAACTCACACACGGAAGGGCGATCCGGAAAAAGTGAAGAGCTCACGTACCGAGCCCATCAGGAAATTCGAATCGAAATGGAGCGAGGAGCGCAAGTCAACAACATCAGCTCTAGCGAAAATCATCAAGCTGCACGGTGCTCAGGCCCCTCGGTATGAAGCGGATCTCGGCATGATTCCCCGGAAGCTCATCGTCTTACTTTCTGTATAAGAGGGAGAGGCGCGACTCTCATGGTCTCATCTCCCTCAATTCCCGAAGAAGCGCAGACAGACGCGCATCCGACTAGTGGATCCGGTGGATGCTCGCGCTTCTAATGGCGGATAGTACATAGCTCTCTCATCATGTGCGCGAGGCTAGCTCCAGCAAGAATTCCCTCCCTCTATCGCTTAGATCTTCGCATCGAAACATCATAGATATATCGAAGAAATCGACTTTCATCACC